TAGTCGATAGCAGCAAAGCAGTCAAAATAAAGCTATACAACACTAAGTACTCGCCCAATTTCTATAGTAATCTAATATCTAATAGATTAATAATAAAGGCGGGGATAGTAATAAACTTCAGAAAGAACTATATTAAAACAACTACTAGAAAACCGGTATATAGAGTATATTAGGATTAAAAGTTAATATAGTTAAAACAACCTAAAGAATTAGCCTTTACTATAAAGAAGTTAGTAAGTAAGCTAAAGTCAGAAGCTTTAATCCAAACTTAGTATAGGCGCCTAGGCTATATTAGTTAGTAACGTCTTACTAAGCTAGTAGAGATAACTAAGGGGATTACTATTAAAAGCAACCTTAGTAATAAGTAGGTATATAAAGCTTATCAATTAGTAGATACCCCGAAGTAAATCTCTTACCGGAAAATAGGCTAAGTATATAGTATATTTAGATATATCTACTTCGATCTAGTATAGAATCAAACTACTTATAATAGATATATCTAGATAACGCATTTTTACCTTAATAGTATTAAGTGCTACTTTATCTTTATATATACTAAGAAAAGTAAATACTAAATAGTTATTAGGAAGTTCCTAGTATTAATTAAGAACTAGCTAAAGATCGAGATTAGAGTATTCTACTATAATAATAAGCGGAGTACGGGTCTTAAGGTTAAAATAATAATAGAGGCCGAGGGATATATAATTAAGTATTCGCTACCTAGCTTACCGGAGATAAATAGTCCTACTAAGAGATCTAGGGGGATAGTAGTAAGAACTACTAGAGTTCTAATTAATAATATAGATCTCCCTAAGAACCTATAGCTAGAGGTAATATATATAGTAGTATATATCCTTAATAGGACTCCGATAAAGATTAGAGATTAATAGATTATACCTTAGAAAGAACTAATAAAGTATACCGTACTAGATAGTATCTATCACTAAGAGATTAACCTTTTAAATATAAGATTATATAGCTATCTAACGTACTCGAGAATCATTAAGAGAGTATAATTAGATAAGATAGCACCTAGAATAGAGATAGGATATCTCGTAGGATATATCTCTAAGAACCTATATAAAGTATAGTTTTCCTATAAAGGACGTACTAGTATAGGAAGGGTAGACGTCGTTAGAGATACCGTTTTCGATAAATTAAGGAGGTATTCGAAATCGACGTCGATACCTAAGGAAGAAGATGCTATTAGTACCATAATAGATAGACTAGGTATATAGCCATAGGTACTTACTAATAATAAAGTATAGGCTAAGATCAGCACCTAGATAGAGATACCGAGATCGATAGCTAGGATAGTACTATATAATAAAACTAAGTATACTAAGCAAGCTAGAGATAATGTAGATGATATAGTTAATATAGTTGATACAGCTGATGATATAGCTAATAATATAGTTGATATAGCTGATAATATAGCTGATGCTATAGTTGATATAGATAATAAAGAGGTTAGGCAGAGAACCCTACTATAGATTAGAAAGGAAGTAGCTAGATTACCTACCCCGCAGTCAATAATCAGACTAAGGGAGTAAACAATAGGAGAGCAAACAAATCCATAGAGAGGCCTACTAGGAAGCTTCCTAGATATACCATCCTCCCCACTACTATTAAAACTAGCCTTAGTATCCCTAAATCCATCGAATCTAGAACCCAGAGGAGCACTATTATCGTCGCTAGATCCGATCTCCGTAATCCCGTCGATCGAAACTAGGAGGGTAGATAGGGATATAGAAGTAAGAGATAATAAAGTAAGTAATAACAAAGTAGAGATAGAGAGATAGCTATAAAGGGAAATAGTATATTCGCCGTCACCGGTACTATCACCATCCTATTAAGAGCAGTCCTATCGAGAGTAGTCCTATCGAGAGTAGTCCTATTGAGAGTAGTCCTATCGAGACTACCGAGCGTTATCCTAACTATCATCATTATCCTAACGAGCACTAAGGGATATATCAGGTAATATCGATATATTAAATATTATTACCGGTAGTAGATCTAGGAGACTAAGGACGGATCTAGATTATACTATATACCTATCTCTCGATAATAATCAAAATAATCCACTAAGCTTACTTTATACCTTCTCTATAGGTATAAGCAAAAGATTCGATAAGAAGCTTTACCGAGATAAACTTCCCCCGCTACTAGAGAACTAGGTATAGATCAAGAAGCATTAGTTCGGAGAAGGATTTATAGTAGCGGTAAGCTTCGAAGTCTAGATACTAGAGAAGAAAGAGACCTATACTAAGGTACTAATTCCGAATCAAAGAGGAATCTAGGTACTACCTTTAAAATAGGTCTTTACCTATAAATTCGATATAGATAGATTTCTTAAGAAATTTAAAGCGAGAATCTACGTTAGAGGTAATCTTTAATAGATATCGATAGAAGAGAAAAGGGTAGCTACCCTAGCTATTAAAATAGTAAGAGTAATCTTTACCTTAGTAGTAGCTTTTAATCTCGATATAATATAGAGAGACGTAGTTAATATATTCCTAAACTTAGTACTTTAAAGTAAGGTTTATACTAAATACCTATAAGGATTTAAAGTATAAGGATAATACTAGCTACTCTATAGAGCTCTCTATAGCTTACGAATATTACTAAGATTATAGTAGTAAGAAGTAATAAGGATACTAGTAAAGCTAGGTCTTACCCCGGTACCGGAAGATCCGTATATCTTTATTAAGAATAGTATTATCGTCTTCTTTTATATAGACGATATTATTATTATAAACTATCTAGATCCTTACTATACTAAATAGGTAGCTAAGCTAGATAACGATATTAAGAAGTAATAGGAATTATAAAAACTAAAAGTAAACTAGTTCTTAAACATCCGTATTATTAGAGATAGAGATTAGATAAAACTCTAGCTATACTAAGATAGCTATATTAAAAGTATAGTAGCTAAGTATAGCTTAATTACTACTAAGAAGATAGGGTCCCTAATAAGTATAGGGACGGGGATTAAACCCCTTCTTCTATTCGACGGAGTAGCTACTATAAGCTAGATTTATAGCTACTAAGCTAAAGTTAGATCCGCCTAGTATACTACTACTATCTCTAGGCTAGATACCGCTAAAGCTATAGCTAAACTAGCTAAATTCCTAATAAACCCTAGTCCGAAGTATATCGATACTATCGACTAAGTGATTTAATACCTTTATAAAACTAAGTTCTAGGCTATTAAATATAGCACTAGAAACGAAAACCTCGGTTTAGACGAAATAAAGGGTCTCTAGTTTGCTATAAAGTCAGTTGAATTTATAAGCGATACTTCGTTCGGAGATAATAAAGATAGGAAGAGTTCGGAAGGTTATATCTATAAGTTATACGGCGGTCTAATCAATTAGAAAGCATCGAAGTAAAAGATAGTAATAATATCGATAACTAAGGCAGAGCTTCTTACTCTAGTAGAAGCCGGAAAAACCGTCTAATAGTAGCGCTAAGTCCTTAAAGCACTAGACTTCTAACTAGATCATCCCTTATCTATTATATACGATAATTAGTAGATAGTCGATCTACTAATAAAGGAAGGATTAACGATATATACGAAGCTACGGTATATAGATATTAATCGATCCTAGATAAAGTAAGAAGTTAGTATAGGTAGAGTCAAAGTAGACTAGGTTCTAACTATAGCTATACCTATAGATAGACTTATAAAGGCGCTTCTAAGATAGAAGCAGTATCTCTTCCGAGAGATGATTAGGATGAGAGAAATCAGGCATCTAATTCATCTAGAAGAAGTAGAAAAGAAGTAAAGAAATGAAGGATTTGGCAGCTCTAAAAGCTAGGAAAATGTAGGCTTTAAGAGCTAGGGGGTGTGTCAAATTACAAGGTTGTATATATGGGATGATATAGATTATATAATCTAGCTTAGTCATAAACCGCACAGAAACAGCAGTTTCTATTATGTAGAAAATGCAGAGTTCTCGATATCAGCCCTGAGGTCCATACATTTCAATACGTCAGATTTCTATCAAGGAACCTTGTGAATATCCAATTGGAAATGATTTCGCGATAATTCATGCCTGATGTATCAGGCCAGACCTATCAGCCTTAAGGGGTCGAGGCATCAAGGCATCAAGGCACCGAATATGAGATTTGGGGCAGTAAGGCACCGAGGCTCCAATCAGTTTTCACATTATCTTCCAAGGTACTTGTAGCCTTGGAAGACTCGCACGATTCTTCTCTCTGAGAAGAATGAGCACCTAGGGACTGGCTTTATTTTCTGCCCCACGTTACAACCGTCTCATGTGGAATTGAGCTTTCTCATGGCGAGGCTATTATGTATTAGGAGGGCGGATGGGGGGCCAAATCTGCCCCATTTAGAACACATTCAAGTGTATTCACCGTTAGGTTAATGGCTTTCGGTGTCCACCCGAAAACTTCTCGTTTGCCATATGATTTAGTACATCCTCCAGCAAAACGACCTTGACCTATCTCCTGTACTGAACCAATTTTCCAATATATGAGGATCCAGGACCATCCACCAGTCCCGGCCCACGCTCTTTGACTTTATCGCAAGAATCAGGTCCCTGCCGCATGCAACGATTTCGACGAACCTGCGCCGTCGCGCGTTTCGACGATCATGTGATCGGTGACATGCACAAAAGCTCAAATGTACTGGAAACAATAGTAATGTAGTCCGTGCTCAGTGTCAACGTTGTCAACAAGCCGGACGGAGGTGTGTATACAGCCATAGGCGATCCCACATATCACGAGCGAGTTCCATTCTCTTGACGACGTAGGATGGTACGGCAGTGCTTATCTCCTGGCCAAGTATGGCTCTCCTCTCCTTGACCTTGCTGCTCAACTGTACGAACAGACTAGCTAATACCATAATTAGCTGTGCTCTCCAGCCCCTGGCTGGTAAATTGTATACGCAAACAGTTTTGAAGTACACTTTCTTTTCCTTCCTCTGTCTTTTTGAACTGGGCTCGTTGCTATGCGGTGCCGCAAACTCCTCCACCATGTTGATTGTGGGACGGGCCGTTGCAGGAATGGGAGGTTCAGGCCTCGTCAACGGATCCCTCACGATTCTCTCAACAGCTGCTCCTAAGCACCAGCAACCAGGTAAGTAAACAAACTCTGGAGGTCTTATGATTGCCGTGTATGGGCTGACAACGCATATAAAGTTTTGATCGGAGTGATGATGGGTCGTAAGTCATCCGACGATCTGATATACCTCTGACGGACCATTCGTCGTCTGACAATATGTTTCAGTTAGTCAGATTGCCATCGTCTGTGGACCACTGCTCGGAGGCGCGTTCACTCAACACGCCACCTGGCGATGGTGTATGTTGACCTTTTGGCTTTTATACTATCGGTGTCCAAGTCCTCGTTTGAATTACAGGCTTTTATATCAATCTCCCCATCGGGGCTGTCGCTGCATTCCTCCTTCTCGTCATCACTATACCCAACCGAATTCCATCCGCCGCTGGCGAACTCTCGACCGACAAACCAATGACCAATGCCAAATCTATACTTCGTAAACTAGACCTTGTAGGCTTCGTGGTCTTCGCAGCCTTCGCAACCATAATTTCCCTCGCACTAGAGTGGGGAGGATCGACCTACAATTGGCGAAGTTCCGTCATCATCGGCCTGTTCTGTGGCGGAGGGTTTGCTCTGATTGCATTCGTGATATGGGAGCGTCATGTTGGCGATGCGGTTGCCATGATTCCTGGTTCGGTCGCCGGTAAACGACAAGTATGGTGCTCTTGCCTCTTCATGGGCTTCTTTTCCGGCTCCTTGCTTGTCTTTTCCTACTACCTACCCATTTACTTCCAGGCTGTGAAAGATGTTTCCCCCACACTGAGTGGTGTGTACATGTTGCCTGGAATTCTTGGGCAGGTCGTTATGGCTATGGTTTCGGGATTCGTAAGTAAGTGAAACTCACCTACACATACGTTCCACCACGTCCATTCCCGTGTCTCTTCTCCACCACGATCGTATGTCATCGGGCTCGGATCGCGTGTATACTGACATGTAAGGCAACAGTCGGAGAGACGGGATACTACTTGCCCTGGGCCCTAGGCAGCGCTATTCTCGTCGCCATAGGCGCTGGTCTAGTATCCACCTTCCAGCCGCATACATCAACTGTGAAATGGGTGATGTACCAATTCATCGCGGGCTTCGGTCGTGGGTGTGGAATGCAGACGGTAAGCTATTATCGGTTTTATCATCTCTCATATTATCGTCTTTCTGTCAAAACAAGAAGCGCATGGAACAGCTAGAGGCTAACATCAATACTCCACCTACCAGCCCATCATCGCCATCCAAAACACACTTTCCCCCGAACAGGTTGCCCTCGGAACTTCTCTCGCCATCTTTGGACAGACATTTGGAGGATCGCTCTTCCTTAACTTCGTTAACCTTGTCTTTGGGTCCGGTCTGAGCACTGGCCTGAGCGAGTGTGCGCCCGCCGTCGACAGGCAGGCCGTGACTGCAGCGGGGGCGACGGCGTTCAGAGATGTGGTCAGCAAGAAGAACCTTCAAGGGGTTTTGAGCGCTTACAGTTTGGCGGTCGATCATACTTTTTATTTAACAGTAGGCGCTTCGGTGTCCACGTTCGTGTTTGCCTTTGGAATGGGGTGGCGGAAGATTAAAACCAAAGACGACACTGAGGCTATGTCTAAGAGTGGTGCTTGACCTCGTTACAAGATACCGGTGGACAGATTACCATGCTGTTAACATTTATTTACTCATATAGTTAATGTCAACCTCAAAAGTTCTATATAGTATTGCCCGCAACCCATGTCTAGTGTACTTCTGGTCACCGTGGCTAGGTCGCTGGCATCTATCAACATCAGTTACTCTTTCTGATAGTTCAGTCCACCACCTGGCCGTCAGGTCACATCGTGCTTTTAAAATATATAACGATAATAATCATTAAGCGAAAAATCTGATTCTCCTGCAATGAAGCCACTGGAGGGGGTAAGGAACTTAGAATGGCCCAAAGCTTTCGATTGAATCAGCGTCTGGCCCGCTCGGTGGCTGCAGCGCTCGGCCTTAGTCCATTGTTAGGACCAGGCGCTGTCCTGGTTCCGCCGGACGGTGACGCACTCCGGGAAGGGGCTGCAGATGCCGGGGCAGAACGATTGTGCGCCATGTGCGCCTTCACAAGGTGGCCCGCAGCCAGGGCAGCACATAGGGAAAGCTCTCCAGCGAGAACAGCGCCTCCGATGATGCGCGCAAGTCGACGTGCATTCTCACCGGGCGTGGTCGGGTGTGATCCACGGACACCAAGCATGTCGAGCATTGCTCCTTGGGGCTCCAGGATGGTACCACCACCCAAGGTACCAACTTCAATAGACGGCATGGAGACGGAAATTTGAAGCGATCCACGGAGACTAAACGGGCAAGGTTAGCGAATGGGTCCGAGTCAGCAGCCGCTTTCAACCTACTTATTCATGAGGGTTATGCAGTTAGCACTCTCTACGACCTGCGCCGGATCCTGCCCTGTAGCAATAAAAATGGCTGCGGTGAGATTTGCAGCTTGGGCGTTGAAGCCGCCGATTGAGCCAGCCATGGCTGACCCAATTAGGTTTTTCGACACGTTGAGCTGAACCATGCTATCCACGTCGCTTTTCAAAACATCCCTAACAACGTTCGCCGGGATAATGGCTTCGGCCACAATGCCTTTGCCCCGTCCGTCGATCCAATTCAAAGCAGAAGGTTTCTTGTCCGTACAGTAATTTCCTGACAGCGTAACGATGTTCATATCGCTGAACCCTGCCTCAGTCGCCATTACATTCAGGGCATGCTCCACACCCTTAGAAATCATGTTCATTCCCATGGCGTCGCCAGTGGTGGTCTTGAATCGAATATACAAGTTGGTACCAGCAATAGTGGTCCGCATGCTCTTCAAGCGCGCAAATCTGCTCGTCGAGTTAAAGGCTTCTTTCATCACGGTCTGACCGACGTCCGAGTCAAGCCAGATTTTTGCAGCACCAGCCCTTTCAAGGACCTCGAAGCGCACACACGGGCCTCGTGTCATACCGTCACCGGTTAGGACTGTCACGGCACCGCCACCCAGGTTGATTGCCTTGCTGCCACGGCTGGGGCTGGCGACCAGAACGCCCTCAGTTGTTGCCATAGGGATGAAATAACTCTTGCCGTCGATGACTATAGGACCAGCGACGCCAACAGGGACCGGCATATAACCAATGACGTTCTCGCAACACGCACCGAGAACACGTTCCCAGGCGTAGTTTTCGTACGGCAGCTTTGAGTCTTCTAGCATCTTTGTAAGCTCTGCGGTAGCCGGTGTCCTCGAAATGATAGAGCGGCGAACCTTCACGGCTCGAGTGCAGTCTTTTAGGCTTTTCTCTAGTGCATACCCGGGAATCTTGCCCCGTAAAGATAAGGCAACGACATCCTCATCGTTCAACTCGCTGATCGTCGTTTCTTTTAGCAAATTGTCTAGTTCGACTTGTGTGCGAGACACTGGAAGTTCCCTAGTGGCTGCTGGTTCTTGTACTCGCTTAGTGACAATTGGAGGTGCTTTTACCGACGCTAATAAGGCCTCGCCGTTATGGTCGGTAGTGATAGGAGTCAAGTGTTCTGTTTGAGAAATCTGGTGACTTAAATGAAGCTGAGGGGTCAGGTTCTGGGCAGCGTTGAACCTTTCAGCCTGAGCAAGTTCCACTGAATCGACCGGGTAACTCGGAAGATTGGGGTCTTTGATTCCCAGCCTGGTAGCCTTGAACAGATAGCTGTTTAGAGCCACACTTAGGGCAAGTGCCACAAATACCCATTTGGAGAGGACGGGATCTTCGAGGCTGGTAAGCAGGCCACCGACCATTTTTCTACCAACTCCATACTCGTGTAGCTGCGATGGGGAACCTGTCGACGCGTACTGACTAGCGCTAGTCTTCACGGAGTGTGAGGCGGCACGACGAACTGAAGGATACTCCAGTTCGTACTTGATAGGAGGGAGGATAGTGACCACAGTCGATTGACCGCGCCCCCTTACCTGGAAAAGTAGTTCATCCAGCCCATTTCCAGCTACCTTAAAGGGCTCAAGCGGGGGTGTCATGACCGCTCCGCTCAGGTTTTCAGTCCAAGATGATATACTAGACAACGATGCACTAGAAGAGGCTTGGAAAGGGATGGAGCAGATGTTGACAAGGTTGATGGCAAAGAAACCCATAACCATCCAGAACTTGAACTTTGGAATACTGCTGCCCTTCATGTCCTTGCTAAACAAGTATACACTCGCACTGTCCTGGAGATCATTGCTCTTGGCTACACTCTCGGCTGTCCGTCGACTGAGACCCTCGTCTTCTAACGCGTGCCGCGTGTTGGTATGACGTTTGATACGGTTGACCTCCAGCTTGATAGAAAGAATAGCGGTGTAGAAGGTAAATAGTAGCAGGCAGTCGAAGAAGAGGATTAATGCAGCTAGGACACAGAAGTCCTGTAGCCCACCCTGCACGCCCGAGGCAGCACCGACAACTAGGAGCAAGATCTCGACCACGTAGTGGTACACGATATCGTAACCCTTCTCCCGAATGGCGCTCCGTACGGCATACTGAATGGTACTTTCGGTGATAGCGGCCGCGCTACCCTGGTGAGCCTGAGTCTTATAGGGCTTTCGGTGCTCTATGGCATGAGATAAAACAGCTCTGGTCAGAGTAATGCTCTTCTCAAAGCCAACGATCACAACCAGGAAGGGAAGGCCTTCGGATAGCAACCTCATGCTCATCGGAACCCCGAGTCTTATGGTCACTTCGAGGGCCAGCAAGAAGGCAAAGGTCGATGACAAAAGGACGCTCGTAGCAAGCCAAACTTTCGATCCCAACTTCTTCAAGCTCAGGAAAAGTGAGAGGAAAGTCAAGTGCATCGATATGTAGCCTAGCACCATGACAATAACATCGAGCGTTTGAGCGCTCTTGACAAGATCAAGAGACTCTGTCCAGATATCGTGGGCCCATTGAGTAAGGCTGCCTTTTGTGTGAGCCCTGGCAGCCTTCATGATCCACATCTGGCGCTCCATCTCGACGACTTCCGTCTCGAGCGATTTTCGGTCGGGACTATTGTTGGGGATCTGCTGCACAGCAGCCACCAGTTCGGGCGCGTTGTTGTATTGAACAGACAAGGCGAAAGTCTTATCTTTCGAATAGGCGGTCAAAGGGTTCGACGTTGAGGGAAGGTGAATCACAGATAGGTTTACAGGGAGAGGAGCAAAGGACGCTGTGGCGGTTTGGGATGCCTCCGCATACGATCCCGGGAATACCAAGGTTATTAGTGCTTGGTGGTTGAGATCCTCGAGAACCTCTGTATCCGTGTCGAAGCTCTGCCACTTCCAGCCATTCAGTGGGCCGGTGATCAAGCTCCGGCTTCCTGCGACCAAAGAGCCCCATTCTGCTTTGCCAACATTTCCGGGGCCATGGAAAAAGCTGTCTTTGAGTAGTCCAACGTATGCGGTACTAGCTAAGATAGCTATGGTGCAAACGGTATGGATCGGGTGTAGACAGGTAGTTTTGGCTAGAAATTGGAGGGTCGAGGTCACTGCCCGGTTGCCCCAGCGTAGGGGTTGCTGTTGGTCCATTGATTCACCACCGCGAAAGCGAGAGGGTAGTAACGACGAAGCAACCATGCTGCAACTCCTTTACTGCAGCTTGTAGCAGTACTTATAGTCCCTGAGGGGTGAATCTCGTCAGCTCTTGGAATGGATAGGCAAGAGCCTGCATCGCTTTGGCTCGCAAAAGCACCTAAATCTAGAATTGGGGTGTGAGAGGAATCACATACCTCCAAAAACGAATGAGCAGCCTGACCAGGTAGATATGACCTGCCGTCGTAGATTATGGGAAGCTTGTTCAGCCGAAGGGATTGGGGGAAGCGACAACGGAACAGCTCCTAAGTAGAAAAGTACCTAAGTAGCAAACGGCGCGCCCCTGAGGCAGCGGAAAAACTCGATCCAAAATCATTCCGGCATCCCATATCCCTGCATCTGGTCCACCTCTGTGAATGGATAGATTACCGCTCTGTGTCAACTGCTGCCTACGGTCAAATCGGAAAGAGATAACCTTGGAACCAAATGGAGGCCCGGTACGGAGTACTAGTATTTGTGTTTATATTTATATTTATATTCTTTTTCCATGAAAGGAATGTGGTGGCACCAAGGACTGGCTCTGATATATGACCTAGTATTAATTGAGGTCGATTTGGGGCCGTCGTCGATCACGCCCGGGCGAGGCCGCCTCTTTACGGAGTGACCTTTCAAACCTTAGAATTTTTGGTTGGATAAGTATCAGGGATATATTGGGCCTTTTCCACAACGAAAGAATATGACACACAAAACACTATTTTCAGAACGACTACTTACGTAGGTAGGCATTGGTATTACCCTGCCTATGAAAAGCCAGGGAGAGCCAACACCCACGATATTAGGCAACAACCTGAACAAGATAGGCGAGAAATCAGTTTGGAGTATTCAGTGGGACCTCAGTACGGGTGTCTCCACTCGGCGTCTCTCGGTCTTAGTTCGATGCCTGCGGAGTTATCCGGGCCTTATTGAATCCGTGCAAGGCTTCGATCCAGGCTCGGCGTATGGATATGCTCTAAGCCTTTTCAACCCTTTTGAATCCTTTTGGATTGGATAACTCGTACGCGTATTACGCATCTGCGTATCACCGATCAGATTCTCGCAGCCTCGCCCCACTATACCCGAAAAGTACCTTGCCTCCCTCGCCGTTTCGTCTTATTCGACTGTTTCCCATCGGCGTTTTATCTCGGGGTTATCGTGACAATAATGCGACACTACTTTTCGAACTGTTACCTTTTAGGTATCGCCCTGAGCGTAGCGTGGTGGTTCGGGGTACCTCAGGGGTACATATCGAGTATCGCAGGGTCACGTACAAGATTAAAACAAGATTAAAATAAACCCCGAAGGCTGGCTCACGTGCCTGAGGCAGCTTATGCAGCTATAGTGACCTGTCAAGCGAAGATCACTGACGCCATGTTCCAGCTGGTATCACCATCGATAGTATAGCAGGCTCCAGTACGTCGGTATTTGGGGGTGTCATGTACCACGACTACCAGGATTCGCTCAATCGGGACCCCGAGACAGTCCCTCGTTATTTCATAACTGGCAACTCAGGAACAATGCTTTCTAACCGGATATCCCACTTCTACGACCTCCGTGGTCCCAGCGTGACGGTTGACACGGCCTGTTCGACAACATTGACCGCACTGCACTTGGCGTGTCAGAGCTTACGCACTGGGGAATCAGATACAGCCGGCATTGTAGGTGCGAATCTTCTGTTCAATGCCGATGCTTTTGTTACGATGTCAAACCTGGGGTGAGTTTCCCTTGAAAAATTCCGAATGAGGAGTGTTGAACTAAGCAATTCTTCTTGTTACCCGGTGTCAGATTTTTGTCGCCCGATGGTATCTCGTATGCATTCGAATGGCTATGGTCGTGGGGAAGGAGTTGCCGCTCTGGTATTGAAGGCTCTCCCAAACGCGTGACCAAGATCCTATCCGAGCCGTCATTCAAGAGACAGCACTTAACCAAGATGGCAAAACACCCGCCATTACTGCGCCGAGTGATATGGCACAGGAACGTCTCATCCGGGAGTGCTACAGTAAAGCCCGCCTGGATATGTCATATACCTCGTACGTGGAGGCGGAGGGAGGTTGCTGAAAGGCGGCCATTTTTGGCGTCACCTGCCGCCGAAAAAGGCAGCCAAATAGCAAAACGCAATTCTTATCTAGTAGAATTTTAATTACGCTATATTCGACAATACCTAGACCTATCTAGTAATAACTAGTAGTAGGTATGAATCTATAATAAACATTATTATATTTCACTTATAATACACGAAACACACCTGACAGCTTTAGTTGATTAGTTATTACTAGTAATGGCTAGTATTACAACCTAGAGGGTGTAATCCTGATACGGGTACTCTACTAGTAATAGCTAGTAATACCTATAATCTAAAGGGGGTTGTAAGGTAATTTATGTATCAAACCGTCGGGCTGTCAGGTGTGCGATAAAATACGAGCGACAGTTTGTTAGGGACGTTTTACTAGTAGCTCGACTACTCCGCCGGACTGGCTTGGAAAAAAGCCTTTCTTGCAACATACATAGCCTCCTCCCTCAGGAGCTAAGCCTGCGGTATGCCCAGAACTCGTAAGCTCTAACCCCTACGTTGTACGACAACTCCTTCAACACGGATTGCGTTTCCTTTTTTCCTTTTTTAACAAGGACGTGATACTCTTCCAGATGAGAGAAAAGTGACAATGTAATTGTACTCTTCTAACTCACGCGTGCAAGGAAGGGGACAGGGCGCGGGCCCCTACCGGACAGGGGGACAGGAATCACAGGATACAACACCGGAATGCGTCAATTGTTGCATCGCGTTCGTTTGCGGCCCTAGACTGCCCTGTCTACACCCATTATCCACTGTCTCCTCTACTCAATCATGCGCCTCGGTGATTCGTCAGCTTCCCTCGGTTCCAAGGTTGATCAAATTGATCTCTTTGACAGCTGCTCTGGAATGTCACGGCGATCCCTTATCGTGGAGCACCAGCATGGAAACCATGGAAATGAGACAATGCGCGTTGCAATCTCGTCATCTTCTCATCTAATCTTGGATATAACTACATTGTAATTGTGGGTTTCATGCTTGATGCAGTCCAAAATCGAAAGTAGGCTGGTGCAATTCCCCCTACAGGAGGTGAAAATGGTCGGGGGAACCACGCCTTGTTACCATGCCAGTGCTCCTACGCGGTTGGAATGTGGTTGTCCAATCCCACACACACACACACATACACCCCCCTCTCACTTCTATGTTGGGGAGTCTGATGTTGGCTAGGCGACTTTTCTTCATCTCTCTATGTCCTCATCTCGCCAACGATTGAGGGCAAGCTATACTATTCATCCTTACGATTTCTTGGGCCTCATATTTGTGTCTATAGGCAATTGACTCCGATCAATTCAACAATTGCAAAGGTTTTCGGAGACGTGTCGCTACCCACCTTGGATAGCGTCCTTAGAAGATTCAAGCTTGAAGGGATTTACTGTTCCGCTTTGATCTCAGGCCAATCAGTATATCAGCTGCCATGCGCGTTTTCAATTATGCATCACAGCCTTCATGGATGGGTTTGCTGGCCGCAGCTCTACTGGGCACTTCAACTGTGCAAGCGATAGAGCTGGACCTTGAGGATGGAGGTAGGTATTCTTCTCTCGCCTGTCTGTGGGCAACGACTAACTCAAAATCAAAGATTCTATTAAAAAGGCAGCCAAACTGGTCGCCACCAACATGATGAGCTACTACACTGGTATGAATCCTGGTGATAACCCAGGTAATCTACCGGATCCATACTACTGGTGGGAGGCGGGTGCGATGTTCAACAGCCTTATCGATTACTGGTTCTACACGGGCGATGATACTTGGAACGACATCACGATTCAAGGTTTGCTCTGGCAGGCTGGAGAGAACAAAGCATTCATGCCAGCCAACCAGAGCAAAACCGAGGGAAATGACGACCAAGTCTTCTGGGCCTTCGCTGCTATGACTGCAGCGGAGCGAAACTTCCCAAACCCGCCAGAAGGCCAACCCCAATGGCTTGAAATGGCCCAGGCCGTCTTCAACACTCAAGCTCCCCGGTGGGATACTTCTTCGTGTGTGGGGGTGGATTGCGCTGGCAGATTTTCACATGGAACAATGGCTACAATTATAAAAACACCATCTCCACTGGCGGATTCTTCAATCTTGCTTCTCGTCTGGCAAAGTACACCAACAACCAAACGTACCAGGATTGGGCTGAGAAGGCCTGGGACTGGACTGCCGAAGTTGGATTCATGACCCCCGAGTATCGGTTCTTGGATGGAGCTAGTGACCTCACTGAGTGCAAGCCAATCAACCAGATTGAATGGACTTACAACGCTGGGGTATACTTGCTTGGCGCAGCTAATATGTACAATTTGGTAAGTGAACTCTATCATTTGATGCCTTCCGATACTTCGAAAGATAATCTAACACTCTAAAAAGACCGAAGAACCCAAATGGAAGGAGCGCACCGAAAAGATCGTCAATGCTTCCAGTATTTTCTTCTCTCACGACCCGCCCAACGTTATGTACGAGCGAGCCTGTGAGACCGTCAATACTTGCATGGTCGACCAGCGGTCTTTCAAGGGATATCTTTCCCGCTGGATGGCTCAAACTGCTCAGATGGCCCCTTTCACATACGACACAATCATGAAACGGTTAAAAGCCTCTGCACAGGCAGCTGCCAAGACTTGTACCGGTGGTATCAATAAGAATGTGTGTGGTCTCAAGTGGACAGAGCAAAAGTGGGATAAGACGAAAGACTTTGGTCAGCAGATGGCTACCCTTGAAGTGATTCAAGCGAATCTGATCACGCATGTGGCAGCCCCGGTCACCAACGACGACGGTGGGACGAGTAAAGGCAATCCGAATGCTGGTACTAAGCCCGAAAGGCAAATCCCGCCTGGTCTCGACTACGATATAACTTCAGGCGACAAGGCTGGTGCAGGCATTTTGACTGTGCTGTTCATGATTGGCATTGGCGGTTCCACTGGTTGGCTCATTTGGGAGTGAACTTGATTTCTTTCCTTTTCTTTTTCTTTTTTCAACTTTTCTTTTGGCCCTCTGTCGCGTTTGCGACTCTCTTATTCTCTCATATTAATTTCTGGACGTGATTAGTGACATTTTGTGAATAATCTTTTGGAATCTAACATATCATTCTCGCTCTAAATTGCCCTGTTTTATCTCTCCGGATGCCCGCAATTCCGTCGATCCTGCTCACCCAATGCAAAGCAGGCATCCCGGCGGTTAGGATGCATATGCATGCCCGTATACAAACGTACCTACGCCTCAGTCAAGCCAAGACATTTACGATGAGACCAGCAAAAAGAGGGGTTGCATACGTTGCAATCACGGTGTATTTTCTATTTCCCGAGCTTCCCACCGCGGTGTGATTTCGGCTTCCTTCCTTCGGATTGATTTGGGCTGTCTCCTCTGAATTCTTCCATATAGTGTCCATCGAACGACTCTTGACAAAACATTGCATCCTTGAGCTTTCGCAATACAGATCATCAAAACATGGGCTCCGTCATGGATTACTCTCAAGTCGAGATTCCCACGCACTGTAAAGCGGGGGTGGTGGTGAACGAAGGCCCCGATTTCCATGTCGAGGTACAGACGGTGCCGGTGCCACAACCAGGTATGACCCCAATCTTTGTTGGATTGTCAACTATTCCAGTACACACAAGTTGGCGGCCACTGATGCTCTTATATAGGCCCCGACGATGTTTTGATCAAGCTCAACTACACTGGACTTTGCTCGTCCGACATCCATATGATGCAAGGAGATCTAGGTCTCCCGTTCATGTCAGTGTTTGGTGTGCGATCACCAGGACATGAAGGTGCGGGTGTAGTGGTCAAAGTTGGAGCCAACGTCAAGACTTTCAAGTTGGGCGATAGAGCCGGAATCAAACCGATGATGGATACATGCGGGTCCTGTGCACTTTGCTGGGACGACAAAGAGACGTACTGCAAGGGCGCAATTCTCGCTGGTCTGCAGACGGCAGGTAAGGCTAACTTTAAAATCATTTCTAATGGTCTGAATTGCGGCTTATTATATCAGGTACTTACCAGCAATACTTGGTATCACCGGCACGATATGCATCGCCAATTCCAGATGGAGTCCCCGATGAAATTGCCGGCCCAATTATGTGTAGTGCCAGCACTATGTACCGATCTCTGATTGAGTCTAACCTTCGATCCGGGGCTTGGGTTGTTTTCCCCGGCGGAGGTGGGGGTGTGGGAATTCAAGGTGTACAGCTGGCTAAAGGCATGGGAATGCGGCCCATCGTGGTAGACACGGGAGCATCCAAACAGAAATTAGCGCTGGAGATGGGAGCAGAGGCCTTTGTGGATTTCAAAGAAGTTGCTGATCCCGCCAAAGCTGTGATTAAAATTTCCGACGGGGTCGGGGCTCATGGGGTGTTTGTGACAGCCCCTGCTGCTTATAAAACAGCAGTTTCATTTATCGGAGACCGGATCGGAGGCATTGTGATGTGTGTCGGTCTTCCTCCCGCAGGGTCGATGACGATAGGAGCCGATCCCTGTCAGTATATCTTCAAAAATCTTACCATCAAGGGCACCCTTGTCGGTAGCCGGAGTGATACTGCCATGGCATTGGATTTCGCACGGAGAGGGGCTCTAAGACAAATTTGTGAAGTCTATCCACTAAATCGCATGCCCGAGGCTGTGGAAAAACTTCGGAGGGGGAAGTCGCCGGGCGGATTGTGATCAATTTCAATTGGGAGGAGTAGTTCGCACTGCTCTACAAATCATGTTTTCATCCACCATTATTTAGGGAACTTGGCTTCAATTTCAACTTCTCTACACGAACAATAATCTTCAATCAACCATGAAGTAGTCACCTCCCCAAAAAAAGAGATACAAAAGGAAAATGCTCACAACTCAATTGAGGTAAGCAAAAGCGCAAAAGCGCAAAAAGAATGGACTCGCGGGGAATCGAACCCCGGACCACTCCCATGCTAAGGGAGTATTATACCACTAAACCACAAGCCCAATTGAATGAAAGGGGTGGCCTATTAATGCTACATAAGTCTAAAATAGATTTACTGTGCTACAATGTAACATCCAAGCCTTTTGATTGACATATTCGAAGTCGATATTCGGGTAACCTTCCAAAGGACTATATATATAAAAAAAATACCGTTAAATGTTGAGAGTTGTGACTGTGCTGGACGGCCTAGATGGGGATAATAGCGGGCCACTCCGGTTATTGCTAGCGTATTACAATATATAGACGCGTTGAGATGACGTGACAGTTAAATGTCGAAGTGTTACCTAGGTACCTTTCTATGTTGTATTAAGGATATGTTTCCGGCTCGACCTTCTTTCCCCAACTTTACCAAGTGGGGAATCTGCAGGCGCACAATGCGGAGAAGCCGGGGAATATACCCCAAGTAGTAGATGTAATCAGACATCGCAAGTCATCACCGGCTGTATCTGCCGATCAGAACTCTTAAAGGCTAGATAAGTGACGCGGTGGCACTGGACGCATTCCAACTGAGTGAATTTGAGTTTGGCGCCATCCATCTAGTACTGTTCCCATGGACCGACAATTAGCCGGCACACCCACTGATTTCTGAGAGGGAAGTCTTATTTAAGGGGGATCAATTATTTGAACGGACCGCTTCCTACATGCAAGACGGTAAAACTGTCTAATAGTCTCCTCAGAAATGCGGGTGCCGTTCATTTCCCTTGCTGTTTTGGCTGTAGCCACACAGGCACAGGAAGTATACATGACAACAACCGGTTACTCCGCTCGACCACAATGCACACAGTCGAATGTGACCCCGAAGTACCACTTCCAGCCCTTCTCTTATACTTTGAACGAGACAGTTCGGTAAGAAATACTTAGATCTAGTTTACACCATCGCTTGCTAATTAGAGTATGAGATATGCAACCTCGGTTCCTTCCCCGACGACAACCAGGAAATATGCCGCGCCTTATACGGACGTAGTCAAGCATTTAACCACCACCTGGTCGACATCAACGTGGGGCAGTTGGGTTCCAGATCAAACTAGTATCAGTGCAACTGACACGAAGGATCCATATGGACAAGCTGCATGGTCCTCGATGTGGTTACAGGCGGATCTTCACAACTATGTATGTCGTGTGCCCCGGGATGTTTTCTCTTTAAAATGGAGTTGATGCTCACTCCGTTAGACCACCACTGGCTTATTCTCTACAACTGTCAGTCCAACACCTGTGCCCAGCAGTGAGCTAGTCTTGCCACCGCGCGACTATTTTGGTCCCACAGACTGCTATAATTTCCCCAAAGACTTCGTGTTTGGTGTTGCAGGGAGTGCAGCCCAGATCGAAGGTGCGATTGCGTTGGATGGCCGAGGACCTTCGTTGCTCGAGAAATTGGTATCCGACAGCGAGCCAAAGGACTATGTCACTAATGAAAACTATTTCTTGTATAAGCAAGATATACAGCGACTAGCTGCGATGGGTGTGGAGTATTACAGTTTTACAATTCCCTGGGCGCGGATTTTGCCTTTTGCTCTGCCAGGAACACCTGTTAATCAACAAGCCATTGATCATTATGATGACTTGATTGACACAGTCCTCGATGCAGGGATGACGGTAAATAATCTCAGCTATCTCGGTGTGCTCGTTGAGTCCTAATATTCTGACCGTCATTTCAGCCAGTGGTTACAATGCTTCATTTTGACAGCCCATTGATGTTTGTTGCCAGCGACAATATCACGAAACACCCAGATATTGGCTACAACAATGCCGGGTATCAAAATGAAACTTTTGTCGACGCATTTGTCAACTATGGAAAGGTATAATTTCTAGTCTACAGGCCATCAAACTCACGCAAGTCTGACATGGCTTACTTCCCAGGTTCTTCTTTCTCATTATGCAGACCGAGTCCCAATATGGGTAACCTTCAATGAACCCCTGCTCTACGCATTCAATTTCAAAGGCGCGGACCACGTTGTCAAAGCACATGCCCAGGTCTATCACTTCTATCATGATACGTTGAAGGCTACAGGGAAGATTGGCATAAAGTTCAACGACAACTTTGGAGTGCCTAAAGATCCGAAAAACTCTAGCCATGTTCTGGCAGCTGATCGCTTCCAAGAAATGCAACTGGGGATCTTCGCAAATCCGATCTTCTTGGGTAAACAATACCCAAAATCCGTGTTAGACACACTCCCTGGAGCCAAGCCCTTGAGCAAATCCGAACTGAAACACATCCACAACACATCCGACTTTTTTGGGATCGATCCGTATACCGCTACGGTAGTGTCTCCAGCCGATGAAGGTATCGAGGCTTGCGCTACCAACCAATCAAGCTCGAATGAACTTTTCCCAAATTGCGTCAAGCAAGAAACAAAGAATGTTTATGGATGGAACATTGGGTATCGCTCTGAATCCTACGTGTATATCACACCAACATATTTCCGAGAGTATCTCTTCTACCTGTGGAATACTTTCCGAAGCCCAATTCTGGTATCAGAGTTTGGGTTTCCGGTACACGCAGAAGCGGAATCGGAGGAGCTCTCTGATCAGCTATTTGACTCTCCACGCAGCGTCTATTATCTTTCCTTCATGTCTGAAATTCTGAAGTCAATATATGAAGATGGTGTGCATGTTATGGGAGCCCTTGCTTGGAGCTTCGTTGACAATTGGGAATTTGGAGATTACACGCAGCAATTTGGCATTCAGGCGGTCAATCGGACGACCCAGCAGCGACACTACAAGAAGAGCTTCTTTGACTTGGTTGATTTTGTGAAAGCTCGACAGCCGAACAAAGACTAAGGTAGCCCACAGTGCATATCAGGGGGCTAGAGTGACAAATTTAAGATCGACTCGATGAGCAAGCAAATTGAATCACATTTCTCACAATAGCCGTATGTAGTCATACTAAAGGAAATTACTAGTAGCGCATAGAATCTCCTCTTTGGGGTATGAAGTAATTCATTCTTTTGTGTGATTATTCGTCATGGCCCTCTTTTCTGGTATGATATTCCAGGTATAGTGTCGAAATATGCCCTACCTACTCACCAAGGGATCTCTTTACCATCATATTGATTTGGACTCTCTCGCGTCTCCCATCCAGGAACATGTATGTTCACAAATTTTCCGTTCTGCTCCGGCGTTGCCTTTTGTATGATATCCAGGACCTTCTCCGCACCTACTTCAACCGGAAGGTCAGCTCGAGAGCCACCAAGGTCAGTGCGAAGCCACTTTTAATGTTAGTAAATTGGCGAAATTTGCGACCAACGAATGACATGAAAAGCTTGACTTACACCAGGATTGATCGCAAGAAAGGTGAAGCCATCATTCGCATATTGCTTGGCATATTGCACAGTAAGCATGTTTAATGCGGCTTTCGAGATCTTATATGCCGGTGACAACAGGGGCTGAAACGCATCAGCCATAGCTATGGAGCCTAAAGTGGTCGATCTTATATTTAGGTCAGCTTCTTATAGTGGTATAAAAAGGTCCGTATCGTTTCTTTCCAATGTCCTCACATGTTGATTACAGTTTTCTTCTCGCCCTTGCGCAAAAGTGGCAGGAAAGCGCGCGATACAACATGTGGCGCAGTGACATTGACATTGAAGGTCTCGTTTAGATTGTCCCTATGAAGTTAGTATCATAGCAAGATTTCCGACAAGGTATCCCAACTTACATTCCTTCCAGTCCTGTTGGGGACCAGTCACTCACTCCCGCGTTGTTGACTAAATAGTCAAGTCCTTTCCCTTGCAGTTGGCGCTCTACTGCCGCCACCCCTCCTTTTACACTGGATTCATCGGTGACATCCAATTTGACAATCTGCACTCGCCGCGCTGAGGTATCTGCAATTTCCTTCAATCTAGCAGAATTGTCCTGGCGCGCGGTGGCGATGATTGTCCCCACCTCAGTTTTGGGCAATGTTGCTAGGCGGGTGATCAGTGCCAGGCCGAGCCCTCGAGAAGCGCCAGTCACTAGATACGATGCCATAGGTTAGGAGGATAATGTTCAGAAAAAGTTAACTGGCAGGTATATAGGATGGGAGGTTTGCCGAGGTGACGTGCAATGATTACGTAGAAAGTATGATGGAGAACCCGAGAGAACCTTGCGGGAGTCTTAATTTACCTGGGTATACATGCATGGATATATATATCTCCATTGATTTCCGGTCGGATATACCTCCTGGAAAATTTTATATGTACATAGGTTAGTAGATATCGATGTGGGCTTAGGTTACTTCATACTTGGTTAAGAACGTCTGGAAAACTATTAGGATAATTTATAGTACTAGCGTTTAATATATGAACAAGGTCTATTTTTGGTATGTTCCGGGGCATTTTCCTTGAATTAACATTGTTTATAAGCTGCAAGAAGAACCAATGTCATGGATGACCATAAATATATATCTCTTGCATTTTGTGACATCGATGTTTCCCATAGTGACTACTTCTACAGTTCCATAGGACTTAATGCACCACAATTTACCGGGATCACCGGTTCATTCTAGGATAGGAAAAGCAAATCCAATGTTAATACTGGGGGGACAAAAGTCAACTGCAAGTGGCATCCTATCTCAGGGACGATCACGTGCAACTTACGTCACCGAATTGATCATCCACAGGTCGTCCACTTGTTCTTCTTTCTTCTCCCACTCAAGCCATTGGTTTTGCTAATTTTCGCAGAGGAGTGATCTCTAGGTGCATTGACGCAATGGCCGACTCCTTCACCCTGCCTTTGCGCCCCATCCCCGAGAAGCGTGATCGTCCAGATACATTACCTGTGGAGATCGCGCAAATCAACAATCAGTGGGGCTCTTTTCGCGAGGTTAACGAAGATGTTCTTCGAAACAAGATTGCCGAGGAGGAAGAAAAAGATGGTCTGGATGAGGTAGATGAGAGTGATCAAGATGCGAGCGATCTTGACTCGACGGAGCGCTTGGAGCAACTGTACAAGCGGCGCGCCGAGATCACTCAGTTCGCCATGTGAGTCTAACGGTATTGAAGCCATGCCCCCAGCGCAAGAATTGACAGATTTTTAGGCAAGCTCACATGGAGACCATGTTCGCCCTCGACTTCGTCTCCCTTTTGCTCTCCAAGCAAGCCCCGCGTCAGGCCGAAACCTCCATGTCGGCCTTCCTCAAGCAAGTCGCACCCCTCGGTTCGCTCAATGCCGAGGTCGTGAACCCTCCCCCGAAACCGGAATCCAAAACAAAAGATATATCAGCAGTATCAAGAGGATGGCGGATCCAAAATTTCAATGCGGCCGCAAACAAGCTTCTGCAGGCCGCCTCCAGACTTGAGACCGAAGTCGCGTCGGAGACTCGATACTGGAACGAGGTACTGGCTGTTAAGGACAAAGGATGGAAAGTTTCCCGTCTCCCAAGCGAAAAGCAATCGCTTGGCGTGCAATATGGGTTCCTTGAAGGTGAGCGCATACCGACGCGACATTGATACAGTACGAAGCATCTGCTGACCGCAACCAAATACAGCCACGCCGGTTTTCCGCGACCGCGGCCTTGCTTCCTTACGCCGAGCTGAGGATGGAGCTTTGCTATTGGACGAAGGATTGATCCCATCCAAAGCCCGTTTTGTTAGAGTACGAGTGATACAGAATGGTCGACTTTCGGGAAGCTCTAAACCGACCCGTTCCACCTTCAACGGTAACGAAACCATTGAGGATCGCATTTTGCAAGCTCGTGATACGGTCTATGAAGAGGAGCTCTTCTATGAGCTGGTCCGAGAAGCTCGAGCAATCGCGAGCTTTGGTGTGACGACACGTCAGAATCTCATTCAAATTCCTGCCTCCGATGATCTCGAAATTTTACTGGACTTGGTTGATACTGATGAAGATACCCCGGAACCTGAACATGATATCTCACAGGAACAAACTTCTCTCGCAGAGGGTTTGGCACATACAATCCGGATATTGTTGGCGTACGCGCACCGTCAAAACTTGCGTCGTCGGACTCTACTTCCGCTGCCCCTGACTCCGAAAACGCGATCAGTTCCTGAGAATCAACTTATTCGGCCAGCTCTAGCTTACATCCAGCATATGTCTCATGTACGCTGGCTCCAGTCCTTGCTGAAGGATCTCTTCGGTGTTTTGCAATCCGCAGGGTTGGAACCACCAGCGTACACCTCAAGAGTCTTTTCGACAGCAAGGAGACAAACCTCTCCTGCCCCAGCAGTGGAGACCCTCGTTGGTCAGTTCCTTACCCCCTTGCTATCTACATTCAACGGCAAAATCTCGACCCCCCGGGGTTCTTTCTCAATTGCTATTCACACCAACCTTTCCTTACCACCCTTCGGCACCAGCTTTGATGTGTCATTCATTATGCCCAAGTACCCGGACCTTGAGTCTCCTGGTAAACTTTCTCATAGGGAAGAAGTAGAAGCAGCCATCACCCATCTCTTGTTGCTTGATGTTGTTTCTACTGTCTCGTCCAACGGCGGTCTTCCACAGCCCGAAAGTGACAAAGACGAAACAAAAGGCACTTGGGAAGCGATTTACCCTCAACATGGTGAACTTCTGACCCCTTCAAAATCAGAAAAACGCAAAAAGATGAAGATTGCTCTGTCCCGTCATGAACTGTCTCTCGAGATCTACACTGTACGCTGTATTGACGGAACCGGGCGGGGGCATTGGGAACTGCCCTCTTACCATTCAATGCCGCATACTTGGAAACCATCCCCTACCGCTGGATCACCCAAGCAGTCCTCTTTGATGGATTGTGTGTTAACCAAGGTGTCACGTTCGTGACCCACAGAGAACGCACATTGGTATCGGGCCGAACCACTCCACTCTATCCCGCCTTGAGCCGATACTCGTCTCCCGATCTCCAATAACAGGGCTTGTGGTTTAGTGGTATAATACTCCCTTAGCATGGGAGTGGTCCGGGGTTCGATTCCCCGCGAGTCCAACTTTTTGTTTCTGAAAACTTTTTGCCTGAAGCAAAAAGTCGTGATAGCTCGCGAGGTGAAGTGGGTCGAGGCAACAATTTTTCGTTGCCGTCTTCCTTTGCAAAAATCAATAATAGACAGAGACTTCAATACCCTGTACAAATCATGGCCACAAAAGGCTGAATTGAAATGCAATTCCATTTGAAAAGGTTTCTTATAACTTCGAACTTAGCGCATTGACGGCCCTTGGGACTGTGAGCGTCTCTCGGAGTCTCTTTTCGCCCAGTCCATATGCGACTGGGAGCCAATCACTGACATCCTCGCCCAAAATCATCAAAGCCAACGCTTCGCCACTCATCAGGCTGTTCGCCATGCCATATCCATTGAATGCAGCAGCAATCCATTCGCCGTCGCCTTCCCGCCCTGTCAGCTTCGGTGACAATCGTCCGACCATTGGCAGACCATCAGAGGAATATCCCATAATCCCACTCCACGAACTGATCAGACGCCAATTGGATCTGTCATTTTTGCCAAAGAATCGCGGCAGGACGATTTCCAAGTGGTCAACGGAGTGGTCGGCCACATAACTGTCATCTGCAGATACGGACTCCTCCAAACGCGTATTCTCACCGCCGAAGTAGAAATAGCCAGTCTTAGCACTCTGTCCTAGGTAGTACAGTCCATATCCAAGACGCTGGGTTTCAGGATCATAGGATGGAGGGTAGTGGAAGCCCCATGACATAGTCGTGCCTTGATTTGGCACAGCATTCTCTGGATCTTGAACTGTCATCGTGCCTTTGAAAGGATGTACAAGCCCTCGCAGGTGAGGAAGGAGATGTCCGCTGTACCCATTGGCACAATGAACTACAGTCTGTGCTCGTAGTAGACCGCGAGGAGTGCGCAGTGTATACGGATAGATATTCATGACGGACGAGGCAAGTGTTGCAATGTGCTCAACAGACTCAACCGGTGTATGTGTCTCAATCGTCAGGCGATCTGGGTATTTTTCTAAGAGTGCCTCGAATACTTTGGTGACAAGACGATATGGCCAGACTGTTCCAGCAGGAAGCAGTGCTCCTCCAGATGCTCCGTGAATTCCATGCTCCTAAAAAGGAGAAGATCAGAATGACATCTTCTGACCACATAGGCGATACGACTCACCGTAAGAACAGCATCCGCATCCAAAATTGTATACAGCCCCTTCTTAGAAGGATGATCCACTTCTAAGCGCGCGATACTTTTCTTGAAGTCGTCAAACTTCCCCTGGGTCAAAAAGACTCGCAGCTTTCGCAGACGTTGCATCTCACTCAACTCCACGGCGTCATACTCTTCAATCAGTTCCTGCATCTTCTCCAAATTGCGGAATGTGAAATCCACAATCTTGCCCGCCGTTTCGACCCCATGTGTCTCTGCAAGATTCATATACTGCTCTCCGGCATTCGCAGCCATTTGGCCACCATTGCGCCCAGTTGCACCTGAACAGAGGGCACGGGCTTCCAAAACGGTTACTGTAGCAGTAGGGTGGCGTTCTAAGAGGGATCTAGCTACCGATAGACCTGTGATACCGGACCCAATGATTGCAAAATCTCGGTCAGTTGGCAATTTTGACGATCGGACGTCGGCGAGAGGATGTGGAATGTGCTGCCAGTAGGACTCGGTGGGATTGGGTCGTGGCAGGCCTGGGTCAGCCGTAACGAGGCCGAAGACTAGACTGTGTTAACTTTCCAATTATACTGCGGTAGGGTCAAGCATGATATTAAATTAGTCGACATTAATAATAGGCGTCGATTGTATTACCTGAATCATTCGGCGCCATCGCGGACGATGTAAAAGGCCCCGTTTTTGCGAATATCAAGAACCTGCGGTAGATTCTTTAACTCAGAAATAAATAAGCCTACTTTGCTTTTGAGAAATAGGAGCTGGTATAGAGTAAATATATAATTATATGGATGTAGACATCGTGCGGGGTTTATCTTATCTCAAAAGGATAGGACTGCCCAAGTGGGAATAGAGTGAATTCTTTCTGGTATCCCGATGTCGGACGACTATTTACATTGCTCGTTCCAACCCCAGTCTAATATTCTCTAGACCTTCATACATGTTCATACAGGGTTGAGGATTTTCCCATCCATTCTACCATTGGGGGACGGCGTGGCAGTAGGCAGAGATATCGGAAGACTCGCCCGGTAAGGCCATTGTCGGGGTGCGTTAGGATATGGCATACTCGGGGTTAAGCTTTACGATTTAGAGCTCTACTAGTCTTTCCTTTTGGATCGGTCCTTGCTACTCAGTTCTAAGGACGATAGGATAAACCCAAGAATCCAACTCCACGTGAGGCATGTGAATGGCGTAACTGCATTCTAGCATTCCATACCAACTGTCTAACCTGGGAACTAAAAATGTGAATTGCTTGTTTTATTAGTGCATATCTTCAATGTCGAGGGATGATCTCGATATAATAGTTCAATCATTTCCACTTCAACTTTCATTTTCACCCTTTCGTGATATCTTGAATATTTCATTTGCCTAACAATGAAGCTTTCTTCTATTTTCCTTACAGTCTTTGCACTGGCCACAACTGGTCTCGCAGGGAAGACATGCACTCCTAGCTTTGATTATTGTTCTGACGCCTTGATCAAAGACAAAGGTAGCCTATTTCCCAACCACGTATAGCTGTTTCAGGGTTAATCGAAGAAAAAATAGGGTTCACCGAGGACGACCTGAAGGATGTTTTGAAGGGGTCAGATCTAGAGAAGGAGGACCTCAAGAATGTGTTATTCCATTGCAAGAATCCTGGAGATGTTGGCCACCCCAAACTCTGCTCGAGCGGATGCGCAGACCCAGGGACGGAGGGTAGTCATTCGTGCTCAGCGTAAGTCATAGCCTTGCCGTCAACTTACAATTCGGAGCTGATAATGCAGTAGCTAAATCATGCTGGTCGCGAGAGGACACTAGCTGCACAATTATATTTGGTGGTAAAACTTCGGCTATAAATGGATTCGAAATAGTTCACAACAAGAAAATGATTCAATTTAGGATACTATAGCATACGTATTCACTCCTAGCAATCGACACAGCGTAAAGACAGTTCTCGGAAGGGGTCAACTCAAAAATGGAGAATTGCTCCACACTACGGCTGACAGTGAAGCAAATAATAACTACTAGTTATTGTTAGTAGGCAACGCTCAACGCATGTTTTTGGTCAACTGGATCGGAAGTATCCGCTGAGGCTGGTTTAGATTGCGCCAAAGATCAACCCATCACTACAGTTGAGCACCCTTTCCAGGAAGGTATTAAACGAGTTCGTCGGGATCGATATTTTGGGCAAGTGGTCAATACCAAATATGAGGTGCCAAACAAGCCGATTACCGAGATCTCGGAGCAATAAGACAAGATATCCGCATAGACATCAGCCCATCTCTCCATGACAGGATTACGCTAATACTTTATCCATGCCTAATCCAAGGATGGCTTTTTAGCCCTCGGTTCTGCAGTTTGTCCATGTATTTGACGATGGTAAGATTATTTGTACTGTGACTGTGACTGACCGTAGCGCCCAGAGCTTTCACCTAGTTAAGTAAGTACCTACTAGGCAGGATCGAAGGGTCTGTGGAACACTGCACACAAGGATTAAAAAAGGAGCTGCAGGCATAGCGTGTCAGCGTCAAAAACGTGGCCCTAGGCCATATTTTGTATGGACAGATGCAAGTGGCACTGCAAAAGGTCTAAAACTGATGTGGCACCCCGCTACAGATCATATGCTTCCGAGAGTGGTAATCAAGTTCCGTATGAGAAATATTAGTATGTGAGACCATGTGACAATGTGTGTGGCATCACTCGTTCAGTGCAATTCTTGTGCACCAATGTTGTGTAGATGAACCGGTCAGACGATGCTTGGCAAGGGCCCACGGGTGGCTTGTACACCAATGATATTTGCTGCAGGGGTAAGCCATAGAAGAGCAGCTATAATAATGAATATGATGATGTTGATGACTCCAGGGCTATAATGGAGAATGACAATAACAAGAATCAGCTCTCGAGGAAGGGAGAAGATGTCATCGAGGGCCAAACAAAACCAAACAGATCAAATCAACCAAATCAAACAAACAAATCAAACAGTGTCAGTGATGTCAGACAGACATCCTCACCGCCTACACTAAACCCAATTTGACCAAGCGGTGACATGCGTCTTGCAGCCAAAATGTAAAGGAACGCAGGTACCGTCAAGGTATTGGAAAAGGTCAGACCACTTGGAAATTTAGGGAGAAATATATACAAGGAGGTCAAAATCATCCAGTCCAGTTCATCATTTTCTCAACAATTCCTTATACAACATACTTCTTAATTCCAACATAATTACTTTAGCTTCAAGTTGTTTCGTCTGTGACGCAAAGCACCCACCTTCTGCCCAATTTCTCTCACCGGATTGGGTTTGACCCCTCCACACCCCACCCCATTCATAACGGGAGCTTTACAACGCCCTTATCAGCTTCTCTTTTTTTTTTTGACTTGTTTTCTTCTCAATCACATTTTTTGTTTCTATTCTCTTGATTATCGACCTGTATTTCAGGTCGAAGCCTTCAATTCGATATGGAGCCCCCCGTTAAGATTGCCACCCAGCCGGCTAAGAGACGCCGCATCGGTGTTCTCACCTCCGGTGGAGATGCTCCCGGTATGAACGGTGCTGTGCGGGCCGTTGTCCGTATGGCAATTCACTGCGACTGTGAAGCCTACGCCATTTTCGAAGGATACGAAGGACTGGTCAATGGCGGCAATATGATCCGCCAACTACACTGGGAGGATGTCCGTGGGTGGTTGTCCCGCGGTGGTACCCTGATCGGCTCTGCCCGCAGCTTGGCA